AAAAAAAGAGATTCATCAACTAGTTTCCTATGCATGCCGGATTTTTTTATATAAAAGTTTGTGGGACATTTTGATTATCTGCTCCACATGTTTATTAGAGTAAGTTCCTTTGATTTCACGCATGCTGATCTCATTATCATAAGCGAAAGAAGAATTTGCGTTGCAACCGGTTGTATGTCCCTTGTGTCACGCGACGAGGACATGAGGGGATATACAACCGTGGATAGCTAAGAATCTTTCGGTTTGATGGCGATCGTGTTCATACACACTTTGTGCAACTTTTTCCTTTTCCTTTTTACCGCATACCCTTTACAATTTTCATCAAACTGTGATCTCACCGTGCAGTTCTCAGTTTTCAACTGCATTTTATATGAACTGAACTGGAATGTTGAATCTGTGTATTTGACGCCAAGTGTATCTGCAGATGTGAAGCCTAAGGCTGTGGGGATTAATTTCATTTCATCATTTTATATGAAGTGGACAGGACCTTTTTCTTCATTTCGGTTTTTACAGAAACCCTCTAAACACAATTTTTTTTAATATGTTTTGCAGGAGACTTCATCTGCTCAGTATATATTGCAGCAGTATACAGCGGCATCAGGAGGGCAGAAGCTTCAGAACTCAATCCACAATGCTTATGCTATGGGAAAGGTGAGAATGATCGCTTCGGAGTTTGAAACGGCCAACAGGGTTGTACGGAACAAGAATTCCTCCAAAGCAGCAGACTCGGGCGGCTTTGTCCTGTGGCAGATGCATCCAGACATGTGGTATGTGGAGCTTGCACTTGGCGGCAGCAAGGTTCACGCTGGTTGCAATGGAAAGCTTGTGTGGAGGCACACGCCTTGGCTTGGTGCACATGCTGCAAAAGGGCCTGTCAGACCCTTGCGACGGGCACTTCAGGTAAACGCTAGTCCTGCTTTGTTTGGCTCGGTTTGCCTTTGCCGTGCACAATTTAATCACTGTGTTTATTTATTGAATACAGGGGCTTGACCCACGAACCACTGCTAGTATGTTTACCAGCTCAAGATGCATTGGTGAAAAGAAGATAAATGGCGAGGATTGTTTCATCCTCAAGCTTTCTGCAGATCCTTTGACGCTGAAAGCCAGGAGCGAAGGGCCTGCGGAGATCATTAGGCATGTTTTATTTGGCTACTTCAGCCAGAAAACAGGGCTCCTTGTACACTTGGAAGATTCCCATTTGACCCGCATTCAGAACAACGGAGGTGATGCTGTTTACTGGGAGACCACAATCAACTCATTCCTGGATGATTACAAGCCCGTTGAGGGGATTATGATCGCTCACTCAGGACGTTCAGTAGTAACCCTATTCAGGTTTGGAGAAACTGCAATGAGCCACACCAAGACGAGGATGGAAGAAGCTTGGACAGTTGAGGAAGTGGCATTCAATGTCCCTGGCTTGTCAATGGACTGTTTCATCCCTCCTGCTGAGCTAAGATTTGCTACCATGAGTGAAGCCTGTGAGCTCCCTCAGGGTCAGACTGTAAATAACACTGCGGCAGCAGCTGCATATCGGGCGAAAGTTGCATCATTCGAGAAGTCTCATGAAGGCAACGCAAGTAATCTTATGTGGAAAATGGATGTTTGAAAGAATAATTGTATGGACTGACTTATATCAAAGGTAGGCATGGTAAGATAGGAGCCGAGTTGCATGCAGGCCTTCTGTGATGGATCGATGTAGTTTCAAACTTGTACATAGTGAGTTGTCTGTAGATTTTCTCAGGTGCCTGAAAAATTGTTGTGCTCGAGTAAAAAATCATTGTGGAGTCGGGACTTGGGTTTTTGGTGGATGATTGAGCTGCGTAACGGAGCTCATTTAGAACCAATACTGATTAGGATTCCTCTTAAGATCAGTTACTATTTATGTAAAATTCGTATTTTGTAGGGTTTGATGCAAAATTGTACTTAATTTCAGATTGACTTGGAGGTTCTGCATTGTACCTTTTTAAAGTTAGATTTGCGAAAAATCAAAACTGAAAAGAAAAAAATGCAAATATTGAAGTCACCCTTTCATTCTTCCCCTGTTGGTAAGGGTTTTTTATCCGATCAAGGCCTAAAGGTCTGGAGTTTGGCCCAAAGAATCAAAGCCTGCTTAAGTATTGGTAGTAAAGTCTACAGACTTGAATCTCATGCACGACTAAAAAACAAAAACAAAAGGATCACCGGATGAGAGCTAAAGCGATACTCTATATTAGTTTACGAAATAGAGGGAGAGCTTGAAATCGTATTCACGTGCAAGGAAAATGTACTTGATTTTTTTTTAAGATTTCAACCAAAACAATTTAGAAACAAAGAAAAAAAATGAATCAAACGGTTCTTGATTGTTTACGGAAGGTTTTTGTATATATACACATATGCCGTCCTATGTTTACATTTGTTGAGTGGTTTATTCAATTAGACGTTAATTTAAATGAACCATAATTATACAGCCTTATAAATTAAATTCATATGCAACTAAAATGCATGTGTCATCTGTGTGACTTATTTCATATTTTACATGTACATTCACTCACCCTTAACATAGCAGAACACCATCATCCTTCGAGCGCAAGTCGTCTTCGGGAATCCATCGACGAGTCATGTGGATTCGATGCGTCTAAAAATGTTCCAAAAATATTTATTCAAAAATTGAATATAAAGTGATTTATTTGCTTAAAATTTTCAAAATTTTTTGGAGATCTTTGCGTGTTTTTTGAGAGAATTGTGAATTTCTAACACTAACAAAGTTGCAGAAAGCGAGTTACTGAATCAACTGACTTGGGCGATTGCAAAGAGCTTTGGCTATTGACCTTGAAGTTTGCTATCTTGTACTCAGACTCGGTTGGGGTCTCATTTCGAGTGATTATGCGGAAGCAAACAAGGAGGAGTGGTTGAGGAGTCAGCTGCCATTGGGCTGGGTTGTGGAGAGTATGTGACAGGACAAGTGGTTGAGGATATAGGGATTTTGTTTGTAGAAGATTTGAAGTTGTTCATTTTTGAATATCTCTACTAAGAACCGTGTCAAGAGAATTAAGATGTGATTAGTGTATTGAAATCTATCTTTTGCGATATAAAATTAGTTTCCTCCAATATCCCACAAACAATTTTTTTGGGTGTTAGATTGCTTGCATAAAGTTGTATTCTCGTTTTATTTTGCGAGAACTGAGACCTCCCTGAACCAATCAAAGTTTATGTGATACATATGCATACAAAACTTGCATGGACCATATAATTTGTGTGAAAGTCTTATTAGTTCCTCATAAGTTGTGTGCATAATTATATATACGCCTCCTGCCCTACCAAAAACATTCAAACTCAACGAAGGAATAGCAATTTGGGGAAGACATGGAAGACCAACTGGAATAAACTACGACAAAAATTTTACAGAATTAGCACTTGTAACAAAAATAATAATAATAAAAAAAGAGAGGTGTGCAACTCAGATTTGAAGTTGCTGGTAACTACTACACCATTGCATTCCAATCATCTTTTGGATATTGAAAAACAAAAGCATTAGTTCTAATCATCATGAGCTTTATAAACCGATGTAGCTATTCTCCACGCCAATCCTACGAACAAGCAATAAACTAAACACCAGAAACATGTCTGCACATCGCAACACTTGGTTACCAATCACCAGAGAGTCATGTTACTCCCACGAATCTTCGAAGTGTATTGTTTAAACTCTAATTACCATTTCCAGAGAAGATTAAACTCTAATAAATCGCCTCTTTTCATGTCCTCTTGTTTTCCAATCTATATATAGTATGTGTATGTAACAGCCGCATATTCTTGAGACCTCCACCCAGTTGTACTAAATTACTAATTCTGTTTTCTAAAAGTTTTGCTAGTTATGGATTTAATATTTGTTTGAATTAGGTTAAGTTGAGAAGGACCACAAGAACCACCTTCTGTTACAACCGACTGAAGTAGAGCAACTTACATGACACGAGATGTCACGATGGTAGTGTATCTTTGCCATGCAAGTCGGAAACTGATACCACGTCTTCAGGTTGTGGTCCCTCAACTCCCTTTTGCAACAAACCCATCTGTAATCACAATAAATTTTGCTGCATTATTATAAGTAGAATAGTAAGTAGAATAGAAAGACCTAGATTTTGGTTTTTAGAGTAGCTTTTGAAGAAGATTAATAGTAGAGTAGCATTAGACCTGTTGACAAGGGAACTTAAAACGAAAATCAAGGTTCCAGACAACATGATGTCAAATGTGCATTGAAAGCAGAAAGTTTGTGTTCTAATAAATGTTTATTGGTTGGAATTACACTTGGTAGATTTTGAGGATCTATGATATATCTTGCTTACGCGATCCTTAATTAGCTGTATTAAGACAAATTAGTATTTTACAGGAAAAATAATGCAGATTAATGAAGAAAGTAGAGACCTGATTCGAAGAATAACTGAAAGGCCTTCCTTCAGAAATGAGGACCACTTTGCTTTGCAATGTCAGATGACAATTCCACATGCTTCTTTATTTGTTACCTATGTGGCTGTCACAAGGCCAGCAATTTGTAAAAACCCAACACCACTCCACAACACAAATTGAATCCAATAATATTACAAATTATATGAACAAACGCCTCATGCAATTAAAAGAATTGAACAAAATACAAACCCACCTTAGAAATCAGATCCTCTATGAGCTAGCTAGAAACTAAAGAGAAACTTCCATGCCGCGCGCACCATCTCTCTCATTACATGATCCAGCAATTACTTAATGAGTCAAAAATTTATTATACTTTAGTATATAGCATAATTAGAGTAATGAATGGTTAAATACGCAATCTTAGTGTATGATATATATATATATATAAAGAGATAGACACACGAAAGCAAAGTTTTGTTTATGACAACCTTTATGTGGGGAGACTAACCTTTCTCGAAAATAAAGGCACAAATAATTCAACAGTACAAAGATGCCTCACAATATAAGATTTTAAATACAATACATGCGCCGTTGATGTCACTAAGCTACAAACACCTGGCCACTCTGCCCACTTGATCAATTTTGACCTTTTCCTTTCAATTCCCCTTATTGCTCTCCACAAAACCAAAACCCTAAATTCTCAACCTTTGCCCTCAGTCATGGATTCCCTGAAGAAAAAGGAGAAGAAAAACCTGCTCACCACAAAAGAGCAGGCTTGCACTAGACAGTTTTGCTTCTTTTGTACCATGAAAGAGCCAAACTCCTTCAAGAGAAGAGCTGGAATATCAGCCTGTTTCAAGGAACTACCTCACAGGGAAGACCAAGGAAATGTTCTAGTGCTAAGCAGCCTATGGAATGCTGCTATGGCTCACCCTGAAGACCCAGAGTTCCCATCCCTTGGAATCTTTGAGTGCATGGTACGGTTTATCCACAAAGGCATCAACAACAAGAGTAATACTTGGCTTCAGAGGGACCAAAACATCTACATCCCTTACTATGCAGCTCATGTCATTGGTTCTTACACCATGAACAAGGCTGAGTTCGCTGAAAAGGCAGTGGCATCAGGCGTGATTCCACCGCTTTTGGAGCTCCTCAGAGGGAAGATGAGTTGGGTCGAGCAAAGAGTTGCGGTTCGAGCGCTAGGTCACCTTGCAAGCTACGAGAGTACATTCGAAGCTGTGGCGGAGTACGAAGAAGAGGTGGTGAGATTAGCCATGAAATTAGCCTCTACATGTCTTGATGCGGTGTATGTTAGTTTTGTGGGGGTGAAAGATGAGAGAAAAAGACAGAAATACCATTGTGATTTGCTCACAAGAGGTGTTGGGGGATTTGAAATGGAGAACCGCAAGGCAGAAGAATGGGCTAGTCAGCTTCAGTGTTGGTGTCTCTATATCTTAAATTGTTTTGCTTGCAAAGAGAGGTCTTTGAATCTCATTTGTAATGGGGATTTTTTAAAACAGTTGTGTGGAATGTGGGGTGGATTAGCCAATCAATCTTCACCAGCTGGCGTTGGACTTGTTAGGATTTTGTGCTATGGTAAATATGGAAGGAAAAAAATTGCTGAATCAAAGGAAGCTATTGAGAGCCTGTGTAATCTCTCAAGGTCTTCAGATGATTGGCAGTACATGGGGATCGACTGCCTCTTGTTGCTTCTCAAAGACCCGAATACGAGGTACAAAGTTATTAATATGGCCGCCTCGTTTCTTATAGATTTGGTTGAACTCAAAAGCCTTGGAGATAGATCAAACGTAGGTGAAGCAATCACAAAAGCACTTCTTCTAAACAAGTTGAACAAGAACAGAAGAATTGAAAAATATTTGGAAGAGGTTTGGAATTTGAAGGTAGAGAGGAGAAGGAAGGAGAGAGTGTTGTCTCAAGAAAAAAATGAGGAAAGTAGGGTTTTGGTGGATTTAATTAAACAAGAAGCAAATCATATGGTTTGTATGGGAGAAATAGAGGGAGCTATAATTAAGTATTCTGAAGCATTAGAAATGTGCCCATTAGGGTTGAGAAAAGATAGAATGGTGCTTTATAGCAATAGAGCTCAGTGTCAGTTGCTTATTGGAAAAGCAGATGCCGCCATTAGAGACTCGACAAGAGCTCTCTGCTTGTCAAGTCCGGTGAATTCTCACAGCAGAAGTCTTTGGAGAAGATCACAGGCTTATGACATGAAAGGATTGGCCAAAGAAAGCATGATGGACTGTTTGATGTTCATCAATGGCTGCATCAAGTCTGGGAGCAGAAAACGGATGAAGGTTCCATACTATGCCGCACGTATGATCAACAAACAGATGGACGCCACTTGGCTCTTCGCCACTGCCAGGTCAAAGATGGCAACAAGTGATGATCAAGACTTTCAAGCGACGAAAGAAGTACAAGTGTCGGAAGGTAGGGTTAACTTATACGAGAGTGGCAACGACAAGCAAGATTACCATGATGAAATGAGGAGAATTATGATGGAGAAGAAAGGTAAGTGAAATTAAATTTGGCACTCGAAATTTCCAATACTAGAATGAGACAGTGTATACAACCATCGTTACGTCTTGTGCCAATAATACAACGTTATGTAGGTTGTAACATTAGCACAAAGCGACACATTGATGATATACTCATGTCATGTAAGATCACTTGTAAATGTTTGAAATTCAAATATTAGGTTAATACAATTGTTTCCTTTTTCTAACGTGCGGTGTGTGTACGTCTTTGCAACTTTTTAGGGTTTATCAAGTGGAAGTATCAATCACCTTTGTGCTGTATCTTTTTCAGGTCTGTCCACCATTTTAGAAGAACCTTTAATTCAACCAGAGGAAGAGAGTAGGAGAAAGATGGAAAGGACGAAAAAGATGTAAGCTTTGGTCGTGGCTTGATCAGTGTAAGTTTTCGTGATGGGTCATTGGAAATCAGTAGTGATGCAAACTTATAACCACAAGAATTAACGATATGTTCTAGTTGAATTTAGGGTTTATGCAGTTGAAACTGTGTCCTTTTTAAAGCTATATACTACTGCATGCGTTAATTTATTCTTCACGATCAGCTTAGTATTATCTTTAGGTTAAGCATTTTCTTGGTCAATTAGAATTTAGAGAGCTAGTTAAGCGCAACAAAATTTCTAATTTGATGATCTAATTAAAACATACTTTGTGTCTGGTAGTTAATCCAGACAATAGTACTGAAGTGCATTTATATGTATGTACTGTTAGAATATATGGGGAAGGTGGAGAGGACCACTTAGGCACATCGATTAAACAAAATTTTCCATTGAAGAGAAGGACGAAATGAAAAGGTAAAAAGGTGTACCTAATTCTATCTTTAGTGCCTTTTTCTTCTGATCTACTTACTCAACTTTATCATCTTGAGTCCATGTGTTTATCACAATGGTGTGTTGGGACATCAAGGATTTAGGCTAAATTAATTAGAAATACACTCTAAGACTGTAGATAGACAGATTGATAATACATGACTTGCGTACAACAAAGTCACTAAATAAGGAATTTTCAATTGATTTATTTTAAATACTGATTTGCAAATCTCTCTCAATGGATTGCCTTTTGATCATTTCAAAATTCTCTATCTAATTTCTATTAAACTAACCACGAGTTGGTGACCCAGTTGTAAATGACGGATTGTGAGGCCTTCTTCAAATTAAAAACTAGAGGTCTTGAGTTCGAAACCTGCTGCTGGTACAGTAGATAGACAGATTGATAATACATGACTTGCGTATAACAAAGTCACTAAATAAGGAATTTTCAATTGATTTATTTTAAATACTGACTTGCAAATCTCTCTCAATGGATTGCCTATTGATCATTTCAAAATTCTCAATCTAATTTCTAGTAAACTAACCTCGAGTTGGTGGCCCAGTGGTAAATGACGGATTGTGAGACCTTCTTCAAATTAAAAACTGGAGGTCTTGGGTTCAAAACCTGCTGCTGGTGTGGAAGCCAAACTTGTAGCTAGGGGGAGATTACAATGTCTCTGTGAGTTTTCTCGTCTCTCGAAAGGGATGGATAACTAGTTGTCCCCATTTTTAAGAAAAATAAAAAATTCTAGTAAACTAAATCATAAGATACTTGATAATCCCTAATTCAAACAAAACATAAGGTTATTTCCAATGTTTGTATTGAGTAATTTGTACGTGGCGTAAGCATTTATTCTTAAACCGGAGGTTAGGGCTCGAATTCTATGTGTTATATACTTATATATAAGCTAAATGACTCCAAATATTACAAAATAAATCACCTAGGTGAAGCAGTTAAATCGCACGTTGAGTTTAAATTTAGAAATTTTGTTTATGAGTATGTAGAAAGAAAAAGATCTCTACTTTACCCACACCATGCAAAGAAAATATAGACAAGATCTCTACTATTTACAATTTGATATCCACCCTAGTTACTTTTTGTGGTAGGCAAGCTAAACACTTCCGACTTTTAATTCATTCGAACCTAGGTTAATTAACAAACACACACACACAATGTCACAATTGATATTCAATTAACATCATGTAGCTATGTGCGCGTCACACTAAAATTTTAACTACCCATCACTTGATTCCAACATCCAATTCAAAGAAAGTTGATGTTTTATCATAAAATTAATTGGCAATACACGATGGTTCCTTTATTAATAAGCACATGTAAAGTCTATTATTTCTCCAAAATAGGATGAACACTCTCCACACAATCAACCGATGAGCTACTATACATAGCACATGAACAGTTTAACCTAAGCACTGAAACTGATCCTTGATCGCAAAAGAAATGTGGGCCTAGTGCATAAGTGTACTATTTTGCTTGAGTAGTTGGGCTTCAAGCCCAGTAGGATAAGGCCCACAATGTTAATTTCTCTCTTTTCTTCATTTGGACACTGCACCGAGAAGAGCTCATAGCTTACGTCATATACCCAAAAATATGAGCTGGTGGTGGTCTGGAGCTGCTCCTGCTACCAAGGTAAGAATAACACCACTAATCTCATTAAATCAGTTTATTAACTACTATAATATGTTTCCTCATCTCGCTGATTATCTTATTTAATTGATTAATTAACGTGAATTGCTCAGAAGAAGTCGGAAGCAGCCGACACGTCAGAATCCCAAAGCGTGGGGCTAGTAATCGGCGTCACGGGCATAGTGGGCAACAGCCTAGCCGAGATCCTCCCGCTCCACGACACCCCCGGCGGTCCATGGAAGGTCTACGGCGTCGCGCGCCGCCCGCGCCCCAATTGGAGCGCCGACCACCCCGTCGACTACATCCAGTGCGACATCTCCGACCCCGAAGACGTCCAGACCAAGCTCTCCGGACTAACTGACGTTACCCACATCTTCTCCATGACGTGGACTAGCAGAGCCACCGAACTCGAAAACTGCGAGGCAAACGGCGCCATGTTCCGCAACGTACTCAGTGTCGTTATCCCAGCGGCTCCCAATCTTCGCCACATCAGCCTCCAAACGGGGACCAAACACTGCATCGGACCGTTTGAGTGCATCGGCAAGATCCCGGCCCATGACCCTCCTTTCATGGAGGACCTGCCGCGGCTCGACGTGCCCAATTTTTACTACACGCTGGAGGACATATTGTTCGAGGAGGTCGAGAAATACCCGGGCCTGACGTGGTCGGTCCACCGTCCGTACAACATTTTCGGGTTTTCTCCTCACAGCTTGATGAACATAATCGGGAGCTTTGCGTTTACGCGGCAATTTGTAAAAAAGAAGGTCGGCCGTTGAAATTCCCGGGAACAAAGGCGGCGTGGGAGTGCTACGCGATGGCCTCGGAAGGAGATTTAATAGCGGAGCAGCATATATGGGCGGCGATGGACCCGAATGCCCAAAACGAGGCGTTTAATATCAACAACGGGGATGTGTTGAAGTGGAAGCAGTTTTGGAAGGGTTTGGCGGAGCAGTTTGGGATTGAGGAGTACGGGTTTGACGAGGAGGGAGAGCGGCGAAGCTTGGTGGAGGAAATGAAGGGAAAGGAGGGGGTGTGGGAGGAGATAGTGAGGGAGAATGAGCTGCAGCCGACGAAGCTGGAGGAGGTGGGGGTGTGGTGGTTTGCCGACTATGTGTTGGGTGGGGAGGCGGTGTTGGATAGTATGAATAACAGCAAGGAGCATGGGTTTTTAGGGTTTAGGAATTCGTACAAGTCGTTTGTTTCTTGGATTGAGAAGATGAAAGCTTACAAGATTGTGCCATGAAGATCTTGTATTATTGTTACCGAAAAAAAAAGGAGCTTGTATTATAAATTCAAAGAGATATTTGTTTTTTTTGGGTACGTTATTTCGTCCCACTCTAAACCATAGATAATTGTTACTCAGAATTTTATTAGTTGGGAAGTGTTCCAGTTTAACTATGGTTATGTAAACTATATATTAATAATAACATTTTTGTTAACTAAAAGAAAGTAGAAAGATAATTATGTTTTTTACCACAAAACAAAATCATGAACAGTAAAGTAAATTCACATATACTAAATTTTACAGGTTTTTTAAAATCTCACCAAAAGTGATCCTAACATCCTTTAATTTTGAAAAATAAAACTGTTTGAACCCAATTTTACATCATCGGCCCAAGCGATTCAGGCCGTTGAGTGGGCATGATTCTCAACCACCGGATGAGAAAGTGGAGATAATTTGATTATTAAAGGATAATATTATAATTATCTTTTAGTCCGAATTATCTGCATCTTCTTAAACCAGATAAACAAGACAAAATTATATCCCAACGGAGAGACAGGTGGAACAGTCCAATGTAATTTGGATTTGTTAGCAGTGTACCGTGTGTGTTAGAGCAATTCGGTTTGGATGCCTATTATATAATTATATATATATATATATATGATTATATATATGTATATGCCGTAACATGCATATGACAAGAAAAGAAAGCCTAGCTAGGCTAGGCTTTTAAATATGATGGGATTATATTTTATTATGCATGCATGGGATAAAGGCTATGTTGAAGTTATCAAGACAAGAAGCCTAGGTGGGCTAGACTTCTAGTGTGATGTGATAAGACGAGATGGGTTTTTATCCTATTTGAAAAGTCACAAACAACAATCTGAAGGATAAGCCTCTGATACGGATCAATTTTTGCTCTGCAAGTTTGAGTTACAGCTGGACTCTACAATATTATCAGGTTGTGCCAAGCAGATATCCAAGTCCTATAAATACAAGAGGTCGTGCAACATAATAGGCCCCACAAAAATCAATACAAAATTGCCCTGCGCAAACTCTCACAACTTGAGATCTTTTTCTTTTCCTTTTTCGCTGACACATCTTCCGTTGGCATCAATAGCACTGTGGAAGCAACCGGTGATATCTTAAGTCGGCATAGATAGCTCTGTCACCGTAGAGTCGGTCGGTCTCGCAGTATCTTCCGTTGGCATCAACAGCACTGCGGCGAGAACGGTCGATTGCCTATCCAAGTCTCGGTCGAGAAGGGTTTTCGAATCCTTGTTGGTCGAGGTCATCTCATTAGCCTTCTCGGCGAGGTGAGGTGTTACAGTTATTACATTCGGCACATTGCAAGCCGAATTCGGTTCGTGAACTTTGTAAGAAATAGCAGCCTTGTCTTCAGGCTCGAGAACCCAAGAGGCCGAGACGCGTTCCTTTCTCGGCCGCAATCGCAAGACGCAGAAGTCAGTAGCGCGACCCAACGCAGCATCATCAAATTTACTCCTCGGCCGAGCCTCGGCCGACGAGTTGGCACGCCCCGTAATCACCGAAGGACGTAGTTAGCTTAGAATATATTCGGCATGCGCGCCACGTAGGCTTTGTAATTTCTAGGGTCAACATTTTGGCACGCCCGGTGGGACCCAGTGCTAAAACTACGAAGTTCACATGATAGATCAAAATGTCAATCTGGCTCCATTTAGCCGATTGCACGAGCTCCTAGAGGAATTGAAAAAATACAATGAGGAAAAAAAAAAATCTTTGGAAGCAGAAAAAGTTCTTCGTGGCCATAAAGAGATGCAAAAGTCATTCGCTTGCATGTTGAAAATAAAAGCTCCTGTTATCCTACAAGGGCAATGGATAAATGAAGACAGGGCTCGATTTAATGCCTGGCTAGATGAAGAAAATTTTCCTTACGTTTCTGATTACAAATCTATTCCATTTGAAAAATGGTTAGGCCCAAAGGCCGGGGGGCAATTTTTCGCTCCGGCCGTAATCAGACATCAGCCTAAGAAAATTGTTAATTTGGCCGAAGAACAAAAGCCACCTATTTTTTCGGTCGAGACTGAAAGTATGGTAGGCTTAGAAGAAAAAATTCAAGTCCCTAAGCTATATACAAAAATTGACTTGGAAA